GACCAAGCTGCTTTGCTCCGTGTCCTTAAACATGCGCATAGCCTCCTCGGAACACTTGAGCTCCCCCTTCTTGTTGGGTTTGAAGTACCGGTTCATCCTGAGCTCACACGCAACGAGCAGCACACCTCTCACTGGCACACACATTGCACACATCATCTGCATCTACTCCAAACCACACAGACTAGCATCCTCCAGTATGTTCCATCCTCATACATCGAGCGGGATGAGCTTGCAACGGAAGGGGCCGGGGAAGGAGGCTGAGCTTTGCCAGGATTTGCTGCCGATGATGGGGTGGAAACCTCCCTCACAGTAGGTGTCAGAGCACGGGCCCTTTGAGGCCCACTTGTGGGCCTCGTTTTGAAAGTCGTGCTTCTCACTGGCGTAGAAACCACTCGAACCGTAGGGTCTCTCTTGGAGGTCTTTGAGGGGTCACCAGCATGTGGTTGGCCTGGCAAGAAGGCACCCTTGATCACAGCTTCATGTACACCAGCTGGAGCTTCAGAAGATCCTGCAGTGTTGCTATATGCATGCATATGCATGAGTACATGCATGCATATATTTACTATAATATACTTTTGTTTCGTTCAGCTAGTATACATAATATGTATATATATATATATATATGTATGTATGTATGTACGTATACATGTATATACATATATACATATATATAATTATAGATTCGATATGGTATTGCATGTATATGACATGTTCCACAAGTAATTAGCTATATATTCAAAAAGAATTGTACTATATACTCTAGCTGTTTAACTTCACATCTATAATCTATATGTCTATCTATCTATATATATATATACATACATATATATAGATATGTTTCACACACACATACATATATATATATATATATATATATGTGTGTGTATGCATATATGCATCTGTGATATGTTGTACGTGTGTATATATACATACATACATGTGTATACATGCATGTGTATGTATACATGTATATGTATATATCTAGTACATGCCGGCCTATATATGTATGTGTATGTATGTATTATATAGTGTTTCTATGTATATATGTTAACATATATATATATATATATATATATATATGCATGTGCACACATGTGTCTAAAACATCTCATATATATATATATATATATATAGCTCACCCTCATCTGCATGTTGTACTCGATATAACATGACATACATGCATGTATAGATTAGGCTACACCACAGTTTGCGACTCTTGAGTGCTTTGGAATCCTCCTCGTCACGGGAGCCCGCGTGCCCCTTGGCCTTGGCCTTTGCTTTGCTCCTTGCTTTGCTTTTTGCACCACCTTTGGCTTTTGCTTTGGCCTTTGCTTTGGGTTTGTTTTTCAGCTCCTGGCTCCTGGGTTCCTTCTTGGCTGCAGGGCGCTTCCGGATCTTCTCATCATCATCACCATCATCCTCCTCCTCTGACATCCTGTCACCATCAATATCTTCCTCTTCCGGCTCCTCCTCACCTTGCTCATCGTCCTGCTCCTCATCACCTTGCTCCTCATCTTCCTCCTCCTCCTTTTCCTCTTCATCCTCCTTGTGTGCAGCTTTGGCCTTCCCCTTTGGCTTCGGAGGGCATTGCTTGTTCGGGGCCAAGGCAGGCTCTATCTTCTCCATGTGTTGTGGCTTCTCAGGCAAGGGTGGCAAGGGTTCCCGCTTGGGTGCTTCAGGTTGCTCAGCTGAAGGGGGCTTGCTTGGAGCGGGCTTGACATGGGAGGTTGGGCGAAACTTCCGTGCACGGCGAAATCTGCGTGAGCCCAAGCTGATTGCAAGCTTAGGTTGGGTCTCAGCACAGGGAGCTTCAGGCGTCGGGGCTGAAGCCTCACAGAGAGCTTCAGGCTTTGGGGGCGGTGTGTTGTTTGGGCATTGTCCGGAAGCCTGAGGAGCATGGCAGCTAGCCTCAGATCCAGCGTCAAAGCTGAGCTTCCGAGCCACACCACCATTCTCGAAAGAGGGTTGAGCATCATGAGGCCAATCTTGCGTATCCAAGTTGTCGGTCAGGCCACCTTAGATCCAGACTGGGTTCGAATGGAAGGCCCCATGTGTAAATTTTCGAACTCGAGGCATGTATATTGTGTGCAATCGTGGTACTTTGGCGCTCATAAAGCCGTTGACTCTTCTTCTTTGCGAGATCCTCCGTAAGCTTCTTCAATCTCTCCTGAGCAACGTGTACAATATTATATGTGTGCATATATGCAGATCGTCTACATGCAGCATTGTTCGTTGCAATTGCAGCACAGCAATAAGCTATAAATGTGGACATGTAACCAACTCCCGAATCTTCTTTGCAAGCTCTGGCTTGCACCCACCCTGGCCCAGGATCTCGATCGTGCCAATCAGTCCACAGGCCAGGCACTTGAACTCATCATTAGCCACTGCAGACACCACGTGCATTTTGGGCTTCTCCATCGTGATACCTTGGCAAGGGCAGGGATATGATCGATCATCAACAAGCTAGGGAGATAGGCTTCATGGAGTAATTTGCAGATAAAGTACCTTTCTCAGGCTTCAAGCCACTTGAGTTTGACATGGGAGACAAGCCTGCGCACAAGAGCTATAAAGTTGCATGCAACAAAAATATGCTACACAAACACGAGCTCCTATAAGCTAGGTTGCAATGCACATGCATGGCAATAGGAAAGTATTCAGGCCTTCACCAGATTCTCCGTCGGGGCTTTGGAAGCTGTTGGGGATGACCAGCTTTGTGGGCTGTGGCTTAACCTCGGGGCCCTGCTTGTCCACTGCCTCGTGCCTAGCCTTGGGGTTCTGCTTGTCCATGAGTGGCTCCTGCTTGGCCTTGGGGTTTTGCTTGTCCACGAGTGGCTCCTGGCTAGCCTTGGGGCTCTGGTTGTCCACTGGCTCCTGCTTAGTGTTCTCCTCGTTGTCCTGTGGCTTCTGCTCAGTCGACGGGTTTGGCTGATGGTCGGCTGCTAGCACCAGCATCTGCTCATCAGTTGGTCTTGGGACATCGACATCTTCAGCTAGCTGCATATCCTGAGGATCTGTCCTAGCCCCACCCATTCTTCGAAGCTTTGATGGTCGCTCCGTCACCTCCATCAGTGGCTCGTTCTTAGGCTCAGCTGGGACCTCAAGTACCATAGAGCCAGCTGGCTCAACGTCAGCTGACACAACCTCAGCTTGCCCAACCTCAGGCCCCGGGGTCACAATCTCATCATCTTCCATATACTCTTCTTCTTCACCTTCACATTCACCAAGATCATCAACATCAGATGCAGCGTCACCTTTGCTCTCATCAGGAATCGGTATGCCGACTGCCGTCATCATCCTGCGGATTGCCATGGACCTTGGACGATGAGGCCGGCCGCTTACACGATTGAAGAAAGAAAGCAATCTTTTGACCTGCCAGGCCATTGATCCAACTTGGTTGCCTCAATCGTTGCAAGTCACACACATGCACACGCAGTCACTGCTCCTGCCACAATTGCATATATACGTGCACAACTGGTTTGGACAAGATGCTAGTCACTGGAATTTTTGCGAGGACAAAAAGGGCATCGATGTGGACTTCCAGGGTATCCACACCCACACGGGTTCCGAGGTGAAGCATGGCAGGTGTAATCACCATTTCATTCAGCTCCAGCGCCAGCCGGTCCACAGTTCCAGTGGGCGTTTGCTTAACCTCAAATGCACAGCACACATGGCATGTAGCATCATGGTGTGATCGATATATATATATATATATATATATATATATATATATACATTAATTGTGTCATGCAGTCTCGTCACAAGTTTGCCCAAAACCATGCGCCGGCGGATCTCCCCGACCTTCTCCCACGCCCTAGCAAGGTCTGTGCTGCTGTCCTCCATGGCTGTCTCCGCCATGGATGCACCCCTAGCACCTATATAGCGCTTATAGCCCTAGCCTATGGGACCCTAAAGATGCCATTGCGACATGTGCATGCTGCATGCACACCAGTTGAGCTGAGAAACATATCGAAGCATGCATGCAGTTGCAAGTCATCAAGCATGCACGTTCCTGTATACTGCATGGCATCAACAGATCGGCACAGGAGGGCTCACCTCTTCGAACTTCAACGATCAGCAGCCCCAGAGGCCGCGCATGTGAAGACGCCACCTGGCATCGATCGATCTATAGAGCCTCACGTTGAGTGATAGCTGGCCTTTCCATCACACCCGCGGGCAAAAGTTGAGACCTGCATGCAAGCCAAGGCATCGATGCAGATGGCAGCTACGACCCGGCCCACATATGCTCATGATGCCAGTCGATGCCTGCACCATCCCACCATGCATCAGCGGGCACACCATGCACGAAAGGGTTTTGCTATATGGTTCTATAGACTCTTTAGACTCTAGATATACGGTGATGTGCACACAGCATTGATCGATGACTGCAGATCAAACTGCGGTTAAATCTTGTGGTTGGTCGATGCACACTGCAGCATCCATGATGCGGATGACATACAAAATGCCTGCAAATCCAAGAATCGCTCGTTATCGCTCGTTTCAGGAAGAAACGCCCGCACTGTACGTTTACATTCGGTTCACCGGCTGAAACCCAGGAATGCATACAACGATCAAACGAGCAAGAATTAACGTATCAAAGGAAGCAACAGGTAGAGCTTCCGCAACCCTGCTCCGCCGCAGCCGGCTGAGGGCTTATGAGTACTGCCGTATACATGTGCCTCTTGTGCGCCGCCTCCACCGTGACCCCTAAGCTACGGCTGGCACTCTTGGATCCTCCAATTTGCATGTCGCACACTATGGGACTCTCAGAAAAATCAAGGGCCCTAGCTAGATACTGATAGTTAAGTCTCCTCACAACCAGCTCTCCCGCTCTATAAAGCCTCCATAACAGCCCTGAGCCCTAAACCCCTAAACACTAAACCCCTAAACATTAAAACCCAAAACCCTAACCCTAAACCCTAAACCCTAAACCCTAACCCTGAACCCTAAACCCTAACCCTGAACGTTACATAGAACCTTGGAGCCCCCTGGAACCAAGCGGCCTTGCACTGCTTGAAGCCTCCATCGCAACCGTGGAAGACGTTGACACAGTCACCGCCCGCCTCGATCGGCGAAGAGGTTCATCTTGCTGTAGGTTAGTAAATGGTAGTAATAGTAGTTATAATTAGGCGAAGAGGTTCATCTTACCGTCGGATAGTAGGGAATGGAAGAATGGTAGCAATAGTAGTTACAACTATACCCCGTTCCTCCATTCCCTACTAACCAACGGTAAGTCATAGGATTAGGGGAGCCTCCTAATTCCACTCACATGAACATACCTGCCACTTGCTCATGTTGGGTTGGTGCTTGCATACAGTCCTACAGAGAGAGTGTAGAGAGAGAGAGAGAGAGAGAGAGAGAAACAAAAAAAGAGCCGAGAGACGTACAAAAGAGGGAGGCAAACCGAAAACAAGACAAAGGTGCTGAGGGCGCCGCAAGCTCACAAGGCTTATCGCCTTCTCCACGACAAGGAAGACGAGTGCCGTTGCACTGCTGGGCCTCAACTTAACGCAATCGCTCGCAAAGGAACCCTAAAGGGCTGCTGGAGGCCTGGATGTCTTTCAGGCTTAGGATTTCGAAAGTATATATAAACTTTAAGCTTACAAACAGAGGTAGAAGAAACACAATGGCCCAGCGGCGATCATCAGGCTTCTCAGAAGATCCGCGTCCTGAAGGTTTGAGAGCGTAGGGGCTTCGGGTTTGGGGGAATCCGATGTAATCTGCAGACGCTTGATTTCTAATCCCCCTCTCTGAATAAGAAAAATCCTAAACCCTAAACCGCGTGGAGGCCACTATTAAGCGCCATTGAAGAACAGCGACTTCTGCATCAAAGGTCTGCATGATAACCTCGAGTGGGATCAGCGGCTCAGGGGCCGTAGGTTTAGGTTTACATTATTTAGGGGTTTAGGGTTTCGGGCTCCGGGGTTTAGGGCCAGGGTTTAGACGGTTAATTAAGAATTTAGTAAACCAGTAAAGTCCGAAAGTTTGCGTGCTCTGTAGTCTCAAAACTTTAGCCCAGGGAAATGAGGACACTGATGTTCCAACCTTCTCGCTTCTACGGCTGGTCAGCTGAACGCTCTAAGACCCTATAAACCTTCCACTTAAAGCCAAAGTTCTCAGGCCCGCTACCACCCTTAACCCGAACCCTTTCTCCCTGTGCGTCCTTCCGAGCTTTCCCTCGGCTCTTCCAGTAGTCGGCATACTTCTCATACCAGACCTCGCAGTTTGGCGCACACGGTTTGGACTTGTCAGGGCATCGGGTCAAAACTTTGGGTTACATGAGATACACATCTGAGGGTTAATTTGACGGATAAGGGGACACGGCAAAGCTGCATCACAGGGGCCCAAAGTTTACTGCGTCCCCTGATTCTCTAAGAAGTGGGTGGGGAAGGGCTGTTGTTTTTCGTGCCAGTGACAGCCCCACAGATTGCACGTAGGATATCCCATCAGCGATACGAGTAGTGTCAACTTTCTGCTACCCTAAGCCCCAAACCCTAAAACCCTATACACCCTAAACCGTCAAGCATAAAGCCAAGCTCGAGGTTCGAATTTTTGAAAGCCTAACATCTGAACTCATAGAACCTTAGTGGCTTTAAAGGAATCTGTCCGGTAACCACAGGCCTGCCCACTTTTACGGCCCTGCACCCTTCACTCCCAGGCTACACCCAGCACGCCTGAAGCCCAGTGCTCCAAACCCCCTCAACCCTAAACCCTAAACCTTAAACCCTAAACCCTAAACCATAAGAATGGAACTGTTGATAAAGCCCTCTCCTTGCCCGTTTAATTTTGTGCTTAGGACACCTTTTCGGGGATTCTGTGGTTGGGATCCGTTACAGGGTCTGGGTTAGACAGATATCCCCCTAAAGGCCCAAGTACCTAATATACTAATAGTCATACACTCTCCGAAATCCTAACCTATATAATATAACTACTATCCTAAAACAGAGTACCCAATTCTTGGGTCCTTTGGACCCTTGGGGCAGGCTTGAAGCCTCTCAAAATTCGGCGGTCCCCGGTTGAGGATGCAGGGTTTTGGGGCTCCCCGGCACCAGGGTGCAGGGGTTTAGGGCTTAATGCAAGGGGAAAAGGAGGGACCCTTAATGAGGACCCCTAGGCTATTATATACCCATTCTATAGCCCATTATAGGGTAGGGGTCCCCATTAAGGGTCCCTTTCCCCTTTGACTTCAGGAACCCTAACCCTATAGACCCTAAAGTTTGAGGCATACGATGGCGAGTTCTGAATCTGTCGCCAATCACAGATATGCGGGCTGTAGGGTTTTGAGCTCCAAGAAGGCTCTAGGGTGTTACGGTTCGGGTGCATAGTATCTATGGTGAAAGATCTACGGCGCAGGGCGGGGGTTTAGGGTCTCTACCTGTGATCATCTAAACCTCGCACCGTCGTTGACGAGGAATTTGAATCCCGGAACTCCAAGGAAAGGCAGGCTTGCACTTTCAGAAAAGTACTGCAACCGGAAGTGGAGCACTAGATCTTGAGACTCTCAAGCATCCAAGATGCGGAGAGCTTTGTCTCCATGGCAAACGGCATGCCCTCTGTGTGCCTGGGCTTCGGGTTCAAGGCCTTACACTGGAGTTCTTCTGAAGGGGCCGATGTGGGAGTTTCCGAAAATTAGGGGTACCTTGTTTCGGGGTCCTCATAAAAACGGATCTTACTATTCAGGGTACTACATAGGGTCCCATATTTTCGGAAACTCCCATGTAACTACGTGCCTGCAGCGGTACTTCAGGGCCCGTGAAGAGTGCCTAAATCCAGAGCAACGCGAAGATCGCAATTGCAAACCCTTAACCCTGTACTGGTTCAGAAAGATCGCAAAGCAGATCCTGGCAAGGAAACGAATCCGAATGAATTGCTCCACAGCATGCGTAGAAGCTTTGCGGTCTTTATCTGTGTGTCCAGGAGATGGCTTGAGAATCAGCGATTCGGGCAAACGTGGAACCTGCAACAGCTAGTAGGATTCCTAACGACGGACCTCCTGCCAATGCTCGGACTCGAGCGATATTCTATGACCAAGGCAGTGTGGGAATAGAACTGGCGCAGCTTAAGGCTTAGTGTAGGGTCGAGTCCGATTGCCCTCCAAATCGGAGCAATCTTGGATCCACATCAGGGGTCTATAGGGGTCCGCATATTATCTTCGAACACGTGTTGCAAGAAGCAAGACAAACATGTTGATCTAGACATCAAAGATCTCGAAGGGTTTAGAAAAACGTGCCAAAGCAGTCGTAAGTTGTAAATGTAGTTGGTTTGGGAATATCACTTGACAAGGCCGGATGTAGGGTGAGGGTTTATGGTGCTGCGCTGGGGCTTAGGGATTTCGGAGATCTTCGGGTCTGTGATGTCAGAAGTAAGGCAAGCGCATGCGCATGACGTCGCCGCCGGTGATGCCAACACCATACCTCAAGGAAAGTGTTGGAGCTATCATCGGTACATGCTCTCTGTGTCTATGTATGTATATACATATATATATATATATATACACACACACACCTTTTTTCATTATTACGGGCATGATCACAAAGAAGCCTTAACTGTAACAAGCCTTTGGGTGCTCTCGGCACTCGTGGTTTTGCGTTTACGTTCCGTTTCGCATCCTTGCTCCAGCCAGAGGGCTGAGAAGGCCAGGAGATGTTCAAGCCTATAACGTAGGGGCCTTGATAATTAGGCTGGGCTTATTACGGCCCATTATACTATAATGTTCATAAGGAACCAACAAAGTCAGTTGGGGTTTAGGGTTTGGGGTTTAGGGTATTAAGGCCCCTATAGTGAGTAACCTTATGCAGCAACAGGGCAGACCCTAAACTCCAAACGTCCGAAGCACGGCCATGCATCGAACCCTGACCCCAAACCTGAAGCCTTGTTGGCCGTGCCTTGTTCCTCGCAGGGCCTTCATGCTTACATCCCGATAATCCTCATCATGAAGGAAAGGAGGTCTCCAAATGGGGAGCTCGAGGAAGATGTAAAGTTAGGTAACATGAGCTGACCAGAAGTGCCACGACTTAGGTCCTGCGGTATGCGTAAACCCGCCACTGAGATTCCAATGTTCCGATATCTCCGCGAAGCTTTCAGGGCTGATGTTCGAAGGAAGGCCTAGTCGGTCCTAGGCTAGTGTAGGCTCACCACAATCGTGAAGTCTCCTGTACTGAACTTAGAACCCTAGCAGAAATTATAATTTTAGCTGTTTCTTAGGGATTATAATAACCAGAACTTAAAAACAATTTCTAAGTACCCCTAAGTCTCCAGACCGTGCACCCGCCGAAGATCCGGCGACAGACATGCAGAACTCCGATCTGACGGCCCTTTCACAGCATAAATGGGAATTTCCGAAAATAGGGGACCCTAATATAATACCCTATAAATAGTAGGATCCTTATTATAAGGACCCCAAAATAAGGTACCCCTAATTTTTCGGAAATGCCTAAATCCCCCAACCCTTAAATCGAAACCTGACCCTTAACCCAACACCCCGCAACCCGAAGCCTTTAACCCGAAACCCGAAAAACCTCAACCCCAAAACCCTTCCCAAACCCTTAGACCCTAGACCCTAAACCCTAAACCCTTAGCCCCGAAACCGGCTCTAGGGCTTAAACCCAAACCTCAAACCTTTCGATACGCCCGACGTTCGGACAAGGCGCTTCAGGTAGCTCGTGGGGCTATCGCTCTCCTTCTTCGAAGCCCCTCCACCTGATGTGCAAAGTAGTGTATACCCGCAGGCTCCATAGTAGTGCCTTGTTGGGATTACTTTATGTGATTCATGAACCCCAAAAGGCAACTACCATGGAGCCTCTAGGTAATATTCTGTAGTATGTTACACAGTACGTAGTACATAATACTGCAAATCTATTCGTATGTTATATTAGTATATGAAGGCATCTCGCAGTATTTTACGGTAGATTGAAGTGTGTTATAACTCTACCCAGGTCACACGCTAAACAGGAAATTACCCTGCAGTTGCCTTGCCATTCATTGCATGTTTTGCCTAAAACTCCTGAGGGGTCTGGGTCTTCTGGCGTTCGGGCTCAGGAAGGTTGAGGGCTTAGGATTCAGGGTGTTGATGTTCTGGGTTGCGGAAATGTAGCATGATGAATATGAAAAAAGAAGCAACATTTCGTAGAGACTACGAAGGGATATGAGTATACGATGATTATATTCAGATCCCTGTACTGTTCACTGGAACATGGTGACAGACTCCCCCGGTCTCCAGACCTAGGACTGCTCCCGAACTTCTGAACTGAAGTTGGGGTTGAACATCGTTAACTGAGGACTTTGCGGGAACACTCTATTATTGAAATTGCTCAGAGCCCGATAATGGGGCTTAGGGTTAAGGGGGTTGGATTTTTAAGGCCCTTCCTGAACCCCTCTGAGCCTGAACCCTAATCAAGCACGGGGTTCTAAACCGCCTCAAGCTGATGTCTGGGCCCTAAGCCCTAAACCCTAATCCCTAAACCCTAATCCTTAAACCCTAATCCCGACACCCTAACTTGAACCCTTTGCCCACAAATGCTAACACTGTCCCATGCACACCCCTAAACCCTAACCCGCAAACCCCAAACCCTAACCCCTAAACCCAAACCCCCACTCCCCTAAACCCTAAACCACACCAACCCTGGGGCCTGCAGCCATGTCGAACGGGCATTTGCTGAAGCCGCGGCAATAGCCCTTCCTCGGCATTCTGCGGTTTAGGGTTTGGGGTGTTTAAACTTTTCGGGATTTAAGGTTTCAGGGCTTCAGACGTTTAGGGCTTCAGACCCGTGCAGGGCTTGCAGGTCTGAGTAAACTTGAAGCCCTCAACCGATCCAGGCGCGGAGTTCTGGTAACTACAGAACTTAACGGTTTAGGGTTCAGCGTTCCCAGAGACTCCAATATCCCGTATTTAAGGAATATTCCTTAAATCATATTAGGGATCCTACTATAGTATAATTGTAATTTAAGGTATATTCCTTGATTAAAGGATCTTGGAGTTAAGGGTTTAGGGGGGGTGTAAAGGTGGATGCCTGGGAAGTCCATCTCTTTGCAGGCTTAGCACTCACTTACCCCAAGGGTCCAAAAGACCCAACACTTAGGGCTCCTTTAAGGGGTTCTATAAGGTTCGTTTAAATGGGGTATTATAAGAGTTCTATAATATGGGCCTTAATAATCAGGTACTCGGTTTTAGGAAAATAGTTATGTAGGTTTGGATTTGGGATAGTATATGATCATTAGGTACTTGGACCCTTGGGGTTATAAGCTCGCGAAGTCCTCTTGCGCAAAACCCATAACTCGTCATAAACACAATCCCTGAACGCTGAAACTTCAACTCGAATCAAGGCTTCCCTGCCGCGACCAAAATGTGGAGAATTCTCTACATAGAAATGGCATACTCTTGCAGGGGCCAAACAACTTACTCTTATCCTAAGTGTAGACCGTCACTTCGAGAGCTCCACATGTCGACTTCATAGCTATTGAATGAGAAAATCATCACCCTTTGGCAGGACGGGTTCTTGGGCAACGGAAGCATCAGGGTAGCCTTTAAAGCCCGGGTTTCGGAGTTGTGACAGAGCGTCACGGTAAAGGTTTAAGATCACAGGTAGCAGTCTCTCATACAAGAGACTAAGTAGCGGGGGTTCGAAATTAAGGGCCTAGGATAATGTGGACCCACTCGAACAGTAATATAGGGGCCTCGATAATTGCGATAGGGGTTTTGGGGTCCGCTACAATTACCATAACTATAGAAGGATCCTCAACAATAGTATAGCTATTAATTAAGGCCTCTATACTATCCGTTGCAAAAGAGATCCAGATCTGGATCCCCTAATTATCCATGTCTTCGACGGGCATCTTCTTCGCGTTGCAAACGCGGAAGAGACCGATGAAGTCCCCCCACTCCTGGAACCAAGAGAATTCCACATCGATGGATATGGGCGTTTCCGAAGATATAGGGGACCCTAATAGATTACCTGAAAAAGTAGGATCCTGAGGATAAGGACCCCGCAATAAGGTACCCCTGATTGCCGGAAACTCCCATATGTACCGTAGAACGGCGTCTTGGGCGCCTGGCCAAGGACCAATATCTGGGGCTTAATAATTAAATTTGGTGGTATAATATACTATAAATATCATAACCCTCAGAATAGTATAGGTTATTATTTAGGCCCCTATATGGGCCGTTGATGACCAAGAAGCCAGAGTACAGCAGCAGGGTGTACATTATGAAACCCATAGCTTTAGATCTTAGAGCGCTTGGCACATGCGTTTCACAAGCTCGGAGTTCATGGTGTTGAGCTTGATGCTTCTTTAGCCCCACGGTTAGGCTGTTAGGAGCCTGCTTGGAGATCCGTTATGTGCAGTCCTACATCGCATCGAACCTCCCAGCACCCTTACGGGTTTAGGGTTTAGGGTCCTACGTTATACTCTGCCCACTGCGGCTCCTCGGGAACCTGGCACTCTGGACAGTCCTGGCGTGTGGCAACTGCCGACACTCTCTTCTCGCTCGGGCTTGGGGCTGCTGGGGCTGAGTAATAATAATACAATAATACTAATACTATAATAGTAATAAAACTATAATAATACGATAATCGTAATAATACTATAATATTGATACAATCATGATAATAATAATGTGGGTCTGGGTACGGGGAGTGCCTTTTGCGTCAGGGAGGGTGGTTTTGAGCCTTGGACCGGCGGAGGGTCTTGAGTTGTCCTTCTTATCCGAATAGGCCGTATAGGTTGTGCAGAGCACACGCAGCAAGCGTAGAGACCATCGTTTTCGGTCGTGGTGATGTTCAAGGTACATGACTGCAGGGTTCCACTTTTCGCGGATATACGTGCCGTTCCTGGACCCTGTACTGTTCTACCTTATTCTGGTAACGCACAAAACCTGTTATCCCAAAAAGGTACGACAGTCGAGGGTCTGGGTGTTAACATGACTCCAATCGAACCTGCTCGTAGGATGCTTGGGTACATGTGGGTTTAGACCAGGAGCCACAAAGTTGCAACATCCTTATCGCATCTATGCCTTACATAGAGGCGAGATTCTTCCTTAGTCAATGTTCTAGTCTAGCTCCTCGGACTCTTGCAAGCTTTGAAGACGGTGGGAAGTCTTGGGTGCCACACAGTTTCTAGTGGCGTAAACACTGGGTCTCACCAGAATCAAGCTCGGTTTTGCATCGGTACCACTTCGCAACTACCTCGCTAGTGCATCGCGTATACTTGCTGTTGGTTTCACTTGATCTGGGCCCGGATGAGGATGAACAGCGGGCTGGAACGTGGAGTCGAGTGACAAACCCGTAAAACCCAAACCCAAATGAATATGCGCATATGGAACAGGCAGACTTCCGGTCTGGATACGCACTAGGGCTTATAGGATCTAGGATATTGGGGATCCCAGACCCCAAACCCCAATTCCCAGACTGCGGGTTGGGGTTTGTGGTCGCAGCTCCTTGGAGTAGCCTTTGATGATCTTCTTCCCTGAGTGGACATCTAGTGTGGGCTTAGAGGGTTTAGGATTCATACAGGGTTTAAGAGCGATGTGGATTTGTGGGCTTTGCGGGGTTGGGATTCATGCTTGGGGTTTGGGCCACGACGTTTTCGGCGGAGGCCATTGAAGCAAAGACGAGATGGCAAGTTGCGTATCAATGCCATGGTATCGGCGATGTCACGATGGAGCATGCGAGTATGTGAGTGCTTCAACAACTGTGGGGAATACTGACATATCGCCTAGACAGTTTGGTAAGCAGCTCTTGGATACTCTTCATTCTTTGAAAAGCCTCCTATACCAAGCCGCCAAGCTGGAACTTACATATGCAGTGGGTGCTGGCATACACCTCCTGTACAGACTGCATGATAAGTACATTCCGATGACTACGTACTTTCAGAATACGGGACTTTTTAGGGTTTGGCGGATATAGGCTTGGGGCTTAAGACCCAGAGCCGCCTAGAGTTTGATAAACGAGGCGACCGCGGACCGGGAAGAGTCGAGTTACAAATCTCAGCTCGCAGGTATGAACGGACATGGGCTGAAGCCTTCCCCAGCTTGGGCTGGCCTAAACCAACTAGTCGAACGGTGGCAAGGTGCGGTCGTAGTCTGACTCCTCCTTCTCAACATCCGCGCACGCGGAGCTTGAATCGAAGGGGTTGCTCTCTTGCCTTGCAGCTCGCGGCAGAGGAATGGGCGGATTGAAGTTTGGGAGCTGAGAGCAACCAGAGCACTCTTCAGAGCGTGTCCCTCGCCTCTTCTGTACAGCAACTCTCTCTCTCTCTCTTTCTTTCTCCCCTTTCCTGCAGTCTCTTATCCTCCATCTCTAACATGTCTAGCGCCGTTGCTTCTGTAACAAAAGTCCACTTTCCACTTCAAGCAGCCGTCTCTCAGTGATTCCGGATTCAGTGTTGCAAAAGGCTTCGTGAGACTCTCTCTCTGTCTCTCTCTCTCTCTCTCTCTTTCTCTCTCTCTCTCTCTCTCTCTCTCTCTCTCTCTCTCTCTCTCTCTCTCTCTCTCTCTCTCTCTCTCTCTCTCTCTCTCTCTCTCTCTCTATCTTTCTCTCTCTCTCTCTCTCTCCCTCTCTCTTTCGCTTTCTCTCTCGCTCTCTCTTTTCTCTCTCCTCTCTTCTCTCTCTTTCTCTCTTCTATCTTGTCTCTCTCTCTCTTCTCTCTCTCTCTGTCTTCTCTCTCTTGCTCTCTCTCTCTCTCTGTCTCTTCTCTCGCTCTCTCTCTCTGTTCTCTGGTCTCTCTACTTCTTCTTCTCTCTCTCTCTCTCTCTCTCCTCTATCCTTCTCCCTCTCTCTCTTCTTCTCTCTCTCTCTCTCTCTCATGTCTCTCTCTCTCTATTGCTCTGTCTGTAAGAACACAGGTATGAAGCAGACATGCTTGAATTCTTTGATGTGCTGTGTTGCGGGCACGTTCTCGCATGCATCGTGGTGGGAAGTACATGGCATAGAACACGTGGTATTTTAACAATGAGTTCGTAGGGACTAGACACATCCAAAAGTAGAAGTTGATGCGTGTCGTCCCCGGCCGTGGCGTGGGCGCAGGTTGTTAGTACAGTTGTAGTTGAAGATGGTCTGGAGTTGTGGTGGCGTACTTAAAGGGTCATGGACTTCGTAACTAGGGTTTGAATTAGGGTAAATCTACTTATAACCCAAATAAGGTACTTATAACTTTATTACTAAGCCCATGATCCTCCCCAGGACCTCTGACCCACACTACCCATACTCGTATTCCGCATATTATTCCCTAGCCTAACCCCAAAAACCCCACAGCACTCACACCTTCAACACAAAACCTTGAGGGGGGGGGGGGGTGGGCTCTCTCCCCCTTCCTCTTTTCCTTCTCCCTCCGGGTGGGGGGGGGGGGGGGGGGGGGGGGGGGGGGGGGGGGGGGGGGGGGTTTGGGGGGTTTGGGGGGGGGGGGGGGTCCTTCTTTCTTATTCGGGGGGGGGGGGGGGGGGGGGGGGGGGGGGGGGGGGGGGTTTTTGGTTTGGGAACCCAAAAATCCTCCAACCCTACATCAGGACTAGTGCGAACGCGGCCACTCCCAAATCGCCACAGCCGTGCCCTGCGAGGACACGTATTCCAACCTGAACCTCGGCCATCGGCAAGCTTGGCTTTGGGACTTGTCTTGTTTCGAGGACCCTTTCTCCGTCCGCTTCTTTTGTCCGAACCAAGCAGATGTGGGTTTCGTTTCGGGCTTGAGGTTTATTGGTTTCAGGCCTTGGGTTTTCAGGAAGTCGCGGTTGCAAACTTCGACTCTGATCCCACAGTAGGAATCTGGCAATAAGGAAACACGAACAAGACGCTCAACTATGTTCGCCTTGTGCTAAGCCTTCAGGATGTGCATCATCATTTTTAACTAGCCATATCTTGGAGCTTATTCCAAGTCAACTAGTCAAAGCATAGTTCCGAAGAGCACTCAAGCTTACCTCGGAACAAGTTCAGACCTCAAGCCCCAAAAAACCCTAAACCCTATACCCCTACATAAACTCTACAAAAACGCGTGTGATTCGACTACAAGGGCCTCTAGTCTGATAGGTGCTGCAACAGCATTGGCTTAGCTTTAAGTCTCGGGCTTCGGAAAGTGGATGCTGTTGTCTCTGAGGCTTTGGGGCTTCAATGTTCCCCGGACGCCCAGGTAGAACTCTTTATAGGTTGCTTTAACCTCTTAAAGATTAATTCTGGGCCCTGTAAAAGAACCCTGCTTTCATGACCAGGGCTCCTACAGTAGAAGCCAGAAAGTTGGAATATCATTATCGTAACCCCTGTAACGTAAATTATAGGGGTTCCTACCATTAATCCATATTCCAACTTTCTGGAGTTCCTTTAATCCTATACCTGTCACGACTTCCGTGTTCGGCCTCAGGCTCCAATAGGTGGGGCCCAACATCACAAACACAACAGAGGCCAAACAACAATCAGTGCAAAAACGCAACAACAACAACAACAGCAGCAGAACAAACAAAACCAAAAAACAACTGAAACCCTAGCAATGAGCCCCACACCCTAAAATTCCGAAAAGAGACCCTAAACCCCTAAACCCTAAACCCTAAATTTAAACCCTAAACCCTAAACCGTACCCGATACCTAGATCAACCCCTGAGGAGCGCCGACAGGAATGCTGGGAGCTCGGCTTGAACTTGCCAGATTTCATCCTTAGGACAAGAAAAAACCACTGGGGATCTAAGAACCCCTGGGGACCTAAGGACTCATCAATGAAGGCTTTTGGGCCCAAAGACCATACTATATAAGGCTTTTGGGCTATTTTGATCCCTCTGGGAAGAGACTTGAGGGTTGAGGTTCAGGGCAGGTCACTTACTTGAAGGTACTCTTCCAACCTAAAGCCCGCGAGGTTAAAATTCTAAACGCCTTCACCCCTATGCCTCCAAGCCCTAAACCCTAAAGCCCCTAAACCCCTAAACCCTAAACCCTAAACCCCTAAACCCTAAAGCCTTCAACCCTGAACCCCTAGACTGCCAACCCCCGACCCATCAAGCTTGATCTGAAACCTAACCATATGGGTGGTTGGCAAAATTAGGGTCCCTTTTTGGGTACCCTAAATATTAGGTGCCGTATCATAGTACGGACCCAAAAAGGGATCCTAATTTTGACAACCACCCATATGAAATACGAACTGCATATGATATTGTTTTACGTACAAGTGCAAATCAAATATTCAAGCACCAGTATGTCCTGACTGCTTAGTGACGGTTTAGAGATGAATATCCTGCATGACCCTCTAGGCAATTAGAGCTTGGGGCCTGAAGCTCTTGAAGCACTTCAAGCTTCGGTTTAGGGTGTAGGGTTCAGGGTTTAGTGTTTAGGGTTCAGGGGTTAGGGTTTAGGGGTAGTTGCGAGTAGAGTTGTTCGGCTTAGGGTCTACCGAGAGTCTAGGGTTTAGAGATTCGGGATACTGTAACTTACTTTTCCCTAGAGTTGCCTTGTGTGCAACCTTTCCGATCGAAGTGAGTGAGTTTGCTCTTGGCAGCTCAGGGTTTTGGAGTTCTGGACCTGTCAAGCATTGTGCACCCACTTCCTCGAACAGCATGCAAAAGCATGAAAGTCCACTGCTGATGAACTGAAGCTACAAAGGGTCGAAATAAGAAGACTCTCTCTCTCTCTCTCTCTCTCTCTCCTTTTTGCGCACACATAGATAACGAGATCGTCAGGAAGACAAACTACCACCACGGATGCCCGAAATCAAAAACTTACCCTGCTCTAGAGCAAGATTTGCCACAACAGGTGAACATAAAGCGTTCTAATGAGGGCGCGCTCAACCGTCACGTAGAGACCCCCAACCACCACAGTGTTTGTTAAACCTAAACCCAACTCTAAACCGTCAGCCCTGAATTGAAAACCCAGAAACCCCTACCTGAACCCCACAAGCCCTAAACCGGTTAAAAAGCTCTCGGCCCTGAAGCCAACACCACAAGGCAATTGCTTCTGAGCGGCTTGTAGTCGCCCACCTCATTGAGAATGCTGTACTTGAAGTGCCTTGGACACAATGAGGATTTAGGTCGGCTTAGGGTTTCGAGGGTGTGAGGCGCAGATCTTCCAAGTCTGCGGTAATTAGCCCACAGAGTGTCTAATATCTTCGGTTCAAACCGCTTTTCGGCAAGTTTGAGTTTAGGGGAGAGGGGGGCCGGTAGGAGGATACTGGGACGGAAGCGAAGATTTGGCGTGTTGGGCACTCCGGTGAAATACAGAAAGGGGGTCTGGCTTCCACACTTTATTCATTTCGGCTCCAGAACCATCAGCTGCATGTTTCAGAGCGTTTTTCCATCCCCGAACCCGAAGCCCGAGCTTCGCTTCGTTTGTGACTGTTGCTCTCTATTTCGGGCAGGAAGCTCGGATTTGGGTAACCACGACCTTCGCGCGCTGAAAATGACAGGGCTGGCATGAGGATTACTACTATGACTTATAACTGTTAAGATTACTATGAAAGTGTCTTTGTGGTGTATGGGTGCTTGTTTGTCTTCCGGGCGCCAAAAGACACCGAGCCTCAGCGACCCTTTCTCTCACAGGCAAGCGCCGGCCCTAGGCTGCCACCATCAAGAAAATTGTCATTTTTTGGTACATTAATGGTTTAGGGTTTAGGGTTTTTAATAATATACTACATATTACGATGGCAAATTACAAAAACTCAAGCACACTACTAATAAGACTACTATTATTGGCAGGGTGTTTTCGGAAGTCTCAGGCTACAATTACTATGTCGCCAGTGCCGCTACTACGACGCAGGCTACGACTAGGAATAGTGCTGTACTAGTTACTAGTAATAATCCATGCGAGTACGAGTACTGCTACTGCTACTGATCCTGCCACTGCGACTGCTGCTGCTGTGGCTGCTGCTGCTGCTACTACTCCTACTACCACTACTACTACCACTACTACTACTACGACTACTACTACTACGACTGCTACTACTACGACTACCACTGCGACTACTACTACTACTACTACTGCTACTACTACGACTACTACTGCGACTACTACTACTACTACTACTACTGCTACTACTACTGCTACTACTAATACTAGTACCAGCACTGCTACAACGACGATCACGACAGCGGCGCCACGACTACCACTGCCACTGCCACCACCACTACTACTGCAACTACGATGACGGCTACTACTGCTATTATGAGAAAACTGGTGATCATGACATCATATCCCATTGTTTATGTCATAAAGCGCGCTTTGTCTTGGACCACCCCTCGCCGGCTAGGGTGTTAGCGTGAGTTGTGAGTGGTGCGTTGACTAGTTGACTATGGAAACTACCATTGCGATGGCACCATTTCCGGGCGCCTTTGGCGACGGAAACGCCGAGCTGTCGTTAGCAAACGCCCCACAGAGCTCCATGGATACGGACCATATAAGGGTTCCTTTAGGGATCTTTAAGGGTTCCTTTAAAGAGATCTATAAGGGTTCTTTAAAGGGTTTAGGGCTTCATCAGTATATTTGTCTCCATTGTAGTTCCTTTTTTGGTTAACCAGTATTATGGTTAGGATCCTGCAATATAGTTTTTGGTTAACCAGAAAAAGGAACCACAATGGAGACTACAGGTATGGTGCAAGAAGACCAGCGGACAACATTGAAGACATTAGCGGCCAGTTCCAGCTACCATATTCCAGCAATGTAAAGCAACATCTAGAAACTCTAAACCATAAACCCTAAGCCCCAAACCAGAAATCCCAAACCCCTAAACCCCTTTATAGAACCCTATACATCCCTTTAAAGGAACCCTTATAGAACCCCCAACCCCCAAGCCCTAAACCCAAAGCCTCGCAGGATGGAGATCCTAAGAGCCAAATCATTGCCCAATTGGAGGTTCATAGGTAGTTACAAGGGTTCCTTTAATGGTCCCTTTAAAGGGATCTATAGGGATTCTATGAGGGTATAGGGTTTCAAAACCCTAAAACTAAGGAACACGTAATGAACTAAGTAATAAGTATTGGCCCGCAACACCTTTAAAAGGCTGTTAATCTATGTACTTTAAGGTCCAGGTAAGACCTCTGTGAGGTCTCCGCATTTCGCAGCTGCCCTGCGCGCCTTTGGCGGCCGGGGCGTTCATCGAAGCCTAGGGTTTAGAGTTCCCAACTACATACCCGATTACCTATTCTAGGTTTGTGCAAACCATGAACAGCCCTAAATCCTAAACCCGAAACTTGAACCCGAAACATGACTGCCAAACCCTAAACTTAACACATACTTGAAAGCTAAATCCGAAACCTAAACCCTAGGCCAGCAGGCAGGTCCGCGGACCTTTAGGCTTTCGACTCGCCTGAAGGTGCTCCCTTCAGGTACCTTGGCTGTGGATAGGGCCTGAATTTTGTCAAAGGGTCATAGACTGGATTACTATCGTCGATGATTAGTACAAGAGTTCGGTTCAAACGGGTTCTAAAGAGACTACTAAACGGGGGGTCCTCTGGGGGTTTAGAAGGAAGGTACCTTGGCTGTGGGGAGCACTTGCAGGGTACGCCTTCGAAAGCCCCTTCAGGGTTCTGTGTTCTCGGGTTGTGGGGCTTAGAGCATCTGCTGTTTCTTAATTCAAAGTCTCTTTGGATCAGGACAAAGCAGGAATTCCGCTTGCTTGCATTAGAGGAGGTCTTTGGACACAGTATTATGTAGCCGCATGTAGCCCAGGAACCATACGGATCTTACCAATTTCTGTTGGATTATGGTCTTGAACGAACCCAGAACCGAAAAACAGAAGCAAAAGCAGTATTGTTCGGTTTGCTAAAGCACCTTAGACATTCTGACCCTAGCATCGCACGGAAGGTTTGCGTGGCCACCTGAAGTATGACAGTTGGGTTTAAGGCACATGCAGTCTTTTAGGCTTTCTTGGTAGGAATAAGGGCGCAGCAAGCAACGTGCACAACAAATGGCTGAATGAGCAGGATTTCCAACCTCAGCATGCCCTTGCGGCCCACTTGCACTTCTAACCATAGCGACCGAAGACAACCAACCGTAAACCATGTAAACCCTAACCTCCACATCCAAAACCTGACAGCTCTGATCTCCACATCCGAATAACTCCGGACCCTAAACTTGTGACAGCAAAAGCCCGAACGCTACAACCCACCTTAGATCTTCAAAGGCTTACTGCCCAGGCGCCAGTTTGTAGCCTCCTCCAAGAAAGCGGTGACCGCAATGGCCACCTGAGACGGGGTTCTTACAGTTAGGATTTCTGTGAGTGTGCATAGGCTCACTAGGAATATTCGTGAACTTATACTCAGGGTGTTAGGGAGTTCTTGTGAGGTCTTAAGCAGCAGTGGAAACCGTGGTTTAGGTAAAGATTAGGGTTGAGTGCCCCGGAAATACATACTTTTATTTGCTACGTCTAATGCTGCGGCTAGAAGTTTGGACTGGTCTGAGGGCTTTAACTTTAAAGCCTCGGGGAAGTCAAGAGTCAAGCTTGCGTGCAGAGCCCTCAACCCGGCACTCTCGCTGCCTCACGAACCCCAAAGCCTGCAAGACCTTCCCACCCCTCCTCCACTGTCAACATTAAACCCTACACCCAAAACCCCCAAACCCCAAAACCTTCCCCTAAACCCCTAAACCCGAAACCGCCAAACCCTAAACCCAAACCCTCCCGTAAACCCCTAAACCCTAAACCCCCAAACCCTAAACCCCTAGACCCCTAAACCCCTAAACCCGAAACCCTAAACTCCCTAAACCCCCAAACCCTAAACCCCTAGACCCCAAAACCCGAAACCCTAAACTCCCTAAACCCCCAAACCCTAAACCCCTAGACCCCTAAACCCCAAAACCCGAAACCCTAAACTCCCTAAACCCCCAAACCCTAAACCCCTAGACCCCTAAACCCCTAAACCCGAAACCCTAAACTCCCTAAACCCCCAAACCCTAAACCCCTAGACCCCTAAACCCCTAAACCCGAAACCCTAAACTCCCTAAACCCCCAAACCCTAAACCCCTAGACCCCTAGACCCCTAACCCTAAACTCCCTAAACCCCCAAACCCTAAACCCCTAGACCCCTAAACCCTAAACCCCTAGACCCCTAAACCCCTAAACCCCTAACCCCTAAACTCCCTAAACCCCCAAACCCTAAATACCCCAAAACCCCTAAACCCTAACCCCTAAACTCCCTAAACCCCCAAACCCTAAACCCCAAAACCCTAAACCCGAAACCCTAAACTCCCTAAACCCCCAAACCCTAAACCCCAAAACCCCTAAACCCGAAACTCCCTAAACTCCCAAAGCCCGAAACCCTAAAACCCCTTAAAAGCCCTCGGAAGCTCCAAATGCCAGGAGCTTCGAAGTCCCTGATCACCCTGGATGCCCCCAGCCAAGACCTGAACCTGAAATAAACCTAGATTTGGGTTTAGGGTTTAGGGTTTAGGGTTTAGGGTTTAGGGTTTAGGGCTTAGGGTTTAGGGTTTAGGGTTTGGGGTTTAGGGTTTAAGGTTTAGGGTTTAGGGTTTAGGATACCAAAGATACGGGAGTTTTGGAAAATTAGGGGTGAGGATCCTACTATGTAGGGTACTTTACTACGGTCCCCCATTTTCGGAAACCCCGTAAAGTTGGAAACCCGATTAAGGCCAAATGGTCCTGGGACTCCCTATACATTACTCTTAAGGATTGAGGCTATTGGGTTTCAACTTTTTGGCTTCTACTGTATATAGATGCTTATGGGGTTAGGGGTTTGGGCTTTAGGGATTTATGTTTAGGTGTTTAGGGTTGGGGGGTTTGGGGTTTCAGATTGTGACTCTTTGTACCCGGGTTTAGGATGGTAGTTATGTAGGTTAGCATTTTGGAGAGTATATGATGATTGGGTACTCGGACCCTTGGGGTAGGGTTTGGGCTTTAGAGGTTAGTTACGGGGGCTTAGGGTTGGGGGGTTTAGGGATTGGGGTTTGGGGGTTAGGGTTTAGGGGTTGAGGGTCTCGGGGATTACCTTCGAACAACAACAGGGTTTTGGAGTACCTGAACACGAAAAAACTACCTAGGGGATATCGGGCATTCTGTAGGGCTAAGAGGGCTTAGGGCATAGAGTATGGAGCCTACACTTAAAGGATCATGGGACTTAGTATAACTAGGGTTATAATTAGGGTAACTCTACTTATACATACTTATAACCCCAATTAAGGAAATTACTTATAACCTAATTTACTAAGACCCATGATCCTCCAAGCAGGACTGATAGGATTTACGGCTCGAAGCTCGCGCCTTGTCTCCGGACTTCTCATCCCAGAGCTCCTGCCAATGCCTCAGCCGGTCCCCCCCCCCGAATTTAGGGTTTTAAGGCAACCACCGGAACCACTTATTCAAGATTCAAGGTCGGGAAGTGTAGGTTTAGTGTGAGGATTCCAGGATTCAGACTATCGGTTTGGGTTGAGAGCTTGCGGAAGCATCATCCCTGCTGTTGATGCCGAAGAGTGAAGAGTCCCAGACACACACACACACATACACCTCACAAATTCAAGGTATACTTTCGAAAACGCATCTGCGCTTCAATTGCAGAGCCAAGAAAAGTGATACTAAACAGTGCCCAAGATGCTCCAGGCGACGAAGACGCTCTTCCTTGGGCAGCTCATTTGCTCGGTCGGCCTGGAACCGGCGGCGCGTTTGAGTTCAGGTATCTGTTTCCAGAACACTCTGTATCAGATTTTGATGCTGTGTTGGCCTCGCCGACTATATTATGGTTCTTCGCTTTAGCCTGTGTTCTATGGTCATGCCCGGATTTCGTTCAGAGGCCGTAACAGAAAACTTGCGGTTCCAGTTCCAGCTGTAGGGTGACGGTCTCGCCATTCTACTTGACGACAGGATCACCCATAGTCGCGGAGGCCCGAACCCTACCCTTTGCGAGGAGGTTCATAAAGTCATGACTCTGAGTATATGACTTTAGGCATTGGTGATGCTTGGTGTGTGGACTCTCTGTCGTAAGTCATGTGAATGACCTGCAGAGAGGATGACCCAATGCAGATTTGCGAGGATGGAAGGAATTCTGCTCTTGCTTCACAAGCATATACTTCTACAAATATAGGCTTGGCAAGCCTGAGCCCGTTACGGTTTTAGGACCTGGGCGCGTGGGGCCTTCAACCCGGACAACGCTTCAAACGGGTAACTCCGACGGAAGTTGATAGATACATCCCATCAACAGCCCGCAACAACCCATGCAGCACGTATCTAGAGGCAGGGTTTGCCTTCATGTCTTCTCGGATGCCGCGCACGATCGTCCTCGGCTCACGAGACTAGGGCCTACGTAGGCAGCCTATCGAAGAAAGTCTAGTTTAAGACCATGCCGTTCTGCATCCGAAAAGGCAAAAATCCGAAGCCCCACTCTAAACTGTAACACACTAAAGCTTACGCCCGAAAACCCTACACTAAACCCTATGTATACCCTAAGCCCTCAACCTTAAACCTTGGAGCACTGACACCAAACCCTGCTTGCACACACCTCAAACCCAAAAAGCGCTGACGTCCAACGAAAAAACACAACTCCTACTGTATCGCAGGCATACTAGCCAAAAACATGATTCTGATTCTGAGAGGCGAGTCGTGTCCAGAGGGACGCAGCCCAAAACTTGCAACTTACAAAACAGGTGAAACGGCGGTTGGGCGTTGCAACCAAAACTCCTGCGCTGACTCCCTAGCACCTTCAACGGAGGCTTGAGCTATGTGGTCCATGACCCAACTCACAGTGGTAGGAGAGGGACGAAAGAGTCTGGCAAGTCTAGCCAGGTCTAAGTCCTCAGAACCTTCCCCTCCGGTGATTTCAGTGTAAATGGGTGGTCTAGGCCCGAGGGCCTGCTGCACAGGCAAGGCTGCAACGTAGGCACCCCAGCATCCGCCTCTGAGCTGACGCATTGCTTTGACCTCAACACTTTCAACCTCCGTTATCTGTTCAACAGAAAGAGGCGGGAAGACGTGTAGCAAGCGCGCGAGGCAGGATGAGGAATGCTTCAGGTGTGCCTGAACACGGCGCACCGAATGATAGTGCTTCATGCAGGCATGGCAGTGCGACCCTAGTGCATAGTGCCGCGAAGGGCTGAGGCGGCCGTGTTTGCGCGCCAAATGCACGCCTAAGTGTTTTCTCAGGACGAAGCGGTCGCCACATAGGTCGCATGCGAACGGCCTCTCCTCGGATAGTGGGCGTGGGAGCCGAGCTCCGGTATGTGAGGGTTTCCATTCCATGAGGTCCTCACAGTATCCTCGGATGGCCTGTTTGACGCGTGACTTCCACCACATGGGTGAGTCCTGCATCGATTCTACTAGCGCGGTTATTGGGCACGGCATGCGTAGCAAAGCAGCCGCAGCTGGCACATACACTGCTACTGCTTTCAAGTCCAGGAGGAACATGCCCAACCAGGACTTCTGAGGGGCCTGCAGCCAGTGGGTGTGAAGGAGATGCAGGAGCGCTCCTGGTCCTTTTTGTAAGAGTCGCCCAAAAAAGGATGCCCTGGCCTGGGCTAACGCTAGTAGTGGGGACGGGGCGCGAGCGGCCTGGAGGACAGCGTAGCTGTGTGGGCTGTCCTCCTTGTCCTTCCATCTCAACAGTCCTCGCCAGAGAAGCACATAGTGTCGACACCAAGTCCTGCGGTGTTGCGACGCATGCAAGTCAATCGTCGCACTGGAGAACGTGAAACGGGACAGGACGAGGCTATGGAGAAGCGTCCGGCGGAGGCTGAGCGGAACCTGACTGTTAGAGAACAGCTTACGACTAAGGGGACGCAGCATGCCGTGAGCAGCGGCGACTCGGAATCGTATCTCAGGGTCAGGTGTGGAATTGGCCACAGTAATACTCCCCAGATGCCGATAGGCGTCAATGACGGGCAGTCGATGTGTGGTACACGCGACTGCGTCGCTGACAAGTATGTAGGGTTTATCCTCTTCATCGACCTGGATATGTGGGCCCTCGGAACGTGAGCAATTGCTTGAGAGGAGCGCCGCTGTTTTGTCGCGCGCAAAAGTAAGGGTCATGCCCAGACAGGTCGCTTGCTCCACAACCAGGCTGGTGGCTCTTACAACCCTATCTATAAGATCGGCCGATCTTGGCGCGGATTGGAGGTGGGTGTAATCGTCTGCCCAAGCCGGCAGGCCAAGTGTATGCACCGCTTCCCAGGTGTGCCAAGGTGGGGGAGACGAGGCTTCTGGGACAGGTGTTGAAAGTCCTTTCTGGGCCAAGGCATCCTTCACAGCCCGGACGTAAGACCCAAAGGTGAAGGCGAAGAGGACATCCGCCAGGGGGTCCCCTGGTCGGGACCCCCTGGCAGTGAGCATTGCTACCCCGTCTTTATCCAACCTAAACCACGATCCTCTGAAAAGGTCGGAGATCTGTGCCTGAAGGAAGCCTCCAACTTGGGCCTCCTGCAAAATGCAGAGGCCATTCAGGTGTCTGGCTAACTCCGGCAGTGCAGCTGCCGGTACATTGAGGTCGTGCAGAAGACGTAACAACCGGGAGTCGTCGGCATCCGGACCTGTGGGGACGAGGGCTTGTCGAATAACCCTGTAGAATGCAGATTTGACGTCAAAATACGTCAATGCACAGACCTGACCGGTACTCAAGGCCCAATGTTGGTAGGTGCGGACCGCCAGACCTATCGTGTCTACACCTATGCCTTGCAGCTGCCCGGCTTGAAGCTCATCACAATATGTCTCCAGTGACGGCAGGAGGAGGTCTCGGATGTTGCGGTGATGGAGCTTGGCAGCGACACTTTCTACAAGAATGGAGCGGTAACCACTGCACTCAAGGGCGGTGGATGCCCTTTTGGCTAAGCTGAGCAGGGTGCCACCGCGCCATTCGCATGGTTCGCGGACTCCGAGAGTGGTCTTCAAGCAGACAGGGAAAAGCGAGCGAGCCGTGGCTGCAGGGGCAATCTGGAGGAGCTCGCTGGTGATTCCGTCGGCGCCACATGCCTTGCAGGGCTTGGCCCGGAGCACGTGCCGCTCCAGGGCGCTTAGGGTCGGAACCTCACGGATGTGGAACACGGGACCCTCCGGCAAAACAGGAATGTCTGGGTGTGCAAACCTGTCTGCATAAGACTCGGGAGTGACTATCTCGGCCGCTTCTTGGCTGCCGAAGAAATCACGCCATCTTGCCAGGCAGTCAGCCCTGCTGGTGGCCAAAGTGCCATCAGCTAATCGGACCGCTGGAAGTGGTTGGTAAGCCGACCGCCGTGAGGATCTGGCGGGGGGGAAGGCTTTCCTGACTGCCGCATAAAGGGCCTTGGGATTACGGCTATCTTGGAGGGCTACGTTATCACGGAGCGAATCCAAGTACGCTATGCGATCCCGCACTACAGCTGCTTTAATTGCTCTAGTGGTTTCACGAAGTAGGTTGACTGCCTGTGCAATGCTGAAATCAACTTGAAAGAGCCAGGCTGCAGCTGTGTGCCTGTGTCGCAACTCGAAGGTTGATCCGCGGAGATTGTGTAGCAGGCCGGCAAAACCTATCAAGAGCAGTCGGCGACGCCGCTCAATTTCCTCGGCTTCGAGATACTTCCGTAGAGCCCGTCGTCGGTTGACCAAGTCAAGTGTGGGTGCTTGCAGGTAGTCTTGTGTAAGTTGAACTGCCGGTGCTGCGCAGAAAGGCTCAGCAGCATTCTTGATGCGGTGAACCCACAAGTCGTAGTGTGAATCAAGGTCCGTCGACCAAGGCACAATTGGCAGGTTGTGAAAAGCCGCTGCGGCTGCTCGGCTGCCGCGGTGTACCTGATCCGGCCTACACGCTGTCCTCTTTGCCCGGATGTGGCTGTCAGCGGGGACAGCTTTCACAAAGCCGACCTCCAGGCATGCCGGAACGTGATCCTGGCGAGCTTGCAGAGCCTCAAAGGATGACCAAAGCCAGGAGGAAAGCACCTTGTCTTTCCAATGTCGAGGCACCGCAATGTAGTCAATTCGATGACTGACACTAGGATCCGGGCCGTACCAGGTATGGTGCGTACCCGAGTGGCTTGCTGTGGTGGCTGGCAGGAAACAGGCGGTTTGAAGCAAGAAGTTGTGAAAGGCGGTTCCCTCGGTGTCCTCTGGCTCTGCACCTGTGTCACCAACTGCTTCAGTGACTATTTCTCCAAGGCGGCCATTCGCATCTGCAAGCACTATGGTGTCGGCGTGACTGGAATGATGGGACAGTGTCTCAAGATGGCTCTTCCAAAAGTCCCTGGGTGCTTCGGATCCACAGGTGCTGGCCCTGGGGCAGTGAGCCACAAGGATTTGGAGGCACAATCGGGGGGCCTCAAGCAACAGATGAAGATGGCGATGTGAGCTGCCCAGCACCGTGACATGGTCCGGTGCGACACACAATTCACGCCTTCCATCCGTGGCGTAGGCACAGGTCTTGCTAATCCAGATGGAACATCCACCGTGCCCCCGCTCATTGGCCGCCGCACTATACATGTAAAAGTCGGCGTCTGGAAGCACACCGGTGGTGGGCAGCCGGGTCTCCTGAAACCCGGCGATCCATACCTGATGTGCAAGGAGCTGTTGCTTGACGAGCTGGCGTTTGCCCATGACTCTCAAACCATGGCTTTCTGAGCGGAGCTTTCTGCCTTGTGGCGCTCCCGGATCGAACATGGTAAGAATGTTGTAGGTCATGAGGCGGAAATGGTAACGGACATCACTGGCTCGATGCTTGGCCTGGCTCAAGCCTTGTGCTGGGTAATTGCCGGCAGGGCAGTTAGTTTGAAGTCGCATAGATTCGGCTTCAAATGCAGCCAAGCATGGAAGATCGGGCGCACCAGGGTGTGCCAGCCAACCCCATTGTGCCATGGGGTGTTGGCGCCACTGGGCAGGCCACGCAGGCGGGCAGC